GTATTGTAGATGTAATATTAGGATTTAAAATTCTTAAAACATTTGAGGGACTTGTAATGTCTCAATCTCACTATATTGAGACTGTACTTAAAAAGTTTAATATGTATGATGAAAATCCAGTTAAAACACCAGTAGACTTAAGTCTACATTTGGCCAAACATAAAGGCGAACCCATATCTCAATTAGAATATTCTCGAATAATAGGTAGTCTAATGTACATTACAAACTGCACTTGTTCGGATATTGTATATGCAGTAAACAAACTTAGTAGATATACAAGTAACCCAAATAATGACCATTGGAAAGCACTGGTAAGGGTTCTTAGATATCTACGATACACCTCAAATGTTGGATTACATTATACGAGATATCTAACTGTATTAGAAAGATACAGTGATGCTAATTGGATATCAGATACAAAAGACTCAAAATCCACTAGTGGGTATGTTTTTACCATTGGTGGTGCGGCTATATCTTGGAAATCCAACATGTATAGATCGATCCACAATGGAATCTGAATTCATAGCTTTAGATAAATTTGGAGAGGGAGCAGAATGGCTTCGAAATTTTTTAGAGGATATTCCATATTGGCCTAAGTCTATGCCTGCAATTAGTATACATTGTGATAGTCAGTCGGCTATCGGTAGAGCACAAAGTAGTATGTATAATGGTAAGTCTCGACATATTCGTCGAAGACATAATACAGTTAAGCAGTTGATCTTCAATGGTGTTATTTTCATTGATTATGTAAAGTCTAGAAAAAATCTTGCGGATCCGCTTACTAAAGGTTTACCAAAAGATCAAGTATACTACCTATCAAGGGGAATGGGTTTAAAGCCTACTACATAAGAATCTTTGTAATGGTAACCCAACATTGCTGACTAGAGATCCCAAAATTTTGGTTCAATGGGACAACTAAGTTATGAAGATTCAAATAAACACTTCGGAGTTAACTCCTACCCATTCCTATGATAAAGAAGTGCTATATGCAGCAAGTTTTAGGTTAAATTATACTTTTAATGATTCCTATATCTTGGACTATCTAAGTGGAGTATGGCAGGTACTCTTAATAGGAAATCACCTATACAAGTGTGAAGTGTGGCCGCTTCTATGAGAATGTTTTAAAGGCTTGAATTCTCTAAAGCACTTATGAAATTCAAGAGTTGTTCAGGGCCAAAATGAACACAACAGTGAGAACTCGAAAATGTTAGGAAGGTTATTGTGTTGATACTATTGTCTTGGTTTACAAAAACGGCTGACAGTTTAAGACACCGTGTTCACTGATTAACCAAGTAAATCCGATAGTATTCTATTACGGAAAGTTCAGACCCATAAGGTACCTATCCAGATACGATAACATTCAGCCTAATCTATCTATAGAGTCTATATAGTCTATTGCATTAATTTTCATTCATGTGAGGGATTGTTGGAAAAATTGGGTTAATTAGTTGGTTTGACCAACTTTTGACCAATTAATTTTGTGGGTCTCGTTAATCGGATATAAGATTTCTTTGGCCGACTGTGTTCTACTCGTTGAGTAGATTAATATGGTATATTTATTTTCTCAAAACCAATTTAGGGTGAATGAGAAATTAAGGCCAAAAGATGCCCATTCGATGTTAAAATAAAATAAGTGGGAAATTGGAAAATACCAATTCCACGTAGGAAAACTAGAAAAATATAAACTACCTTATATAGCTCAAATTTGGGACTTGGGTTTGGGCCCTAAGGGGTACCAATAGTCTTTGAGGGGGAGAGAATCTACATGCTAGTAAGTTAAGCCAAAGCCCACACGAGCGTGCCATCGTCGCAATCCGTTCGACCGGCTGGTTCAGCTCGGCACGGCACGGTCACGATCACGGTCTCGATCACGATCGTGGTCACGGGTCATAAATCTTGGGCTTGGGCCAAGCTGATATATATTTTCTGGTAAAATAACATTTGAATTATATTATTTTATTATTATTTAATAATAATAATATATTTTATATTATTATTTTTCTTCCCCGAATTTTCTGTGTGTGACACGTGGTTGCTTCTAGAATTTGGCGGGTTGTGACGGTTGACTGTCCAAGTGGCGGTTGACTGTCCAAATTGTTTGTGTCTTTTGGACACAACTTTTCGACAGTTGTGTATGTTGGGACACAACCTTTCAACATTTATATATAGGCCCCCATACCCTGGTTTTAATTCATACCAAAATCAGAATTGATTTTCTACTCTCCCGAAATTATCCTTTTGTCCCTGCATCATTTCTACTTTTATAATTCAGTCCTCGAAAATTATTTTTCGTGCATTTTACATCCAGTGTGTGTGGAGAGATCTAAACTTTACGAGTTCGTCGGGTCTTGTAATTTGGAGTACTACTATTACAAGACGAGTTCGTTGTATTTTGAGAAACGAGTACTGCAATATCGTCAATACCAGTGCGGGGTATTATCGTTTTAAGGAGAAAGAGTCAAACTCTTACCTCGACCATTCAAAATCATCCAAACATCGTTACTCTGCCCAAATATACATACACTATTATTTGCCAATCTTTTTCAACAGGGTCAACCATTCCAGCTCCATCTCGTCGGGTATTTTTGTTATCTTACCTCATACTCATACTCTATTAAAGCAGAATGGGTGGACTTGGGGCGAGATCGTGGTGGGACAGGGCTAGGGCTATCAATGGATCGAATCTACTTAAATTCGATCTAATCCGTTAAGAATAATTATCCGATCCGATAATTCGACAATATTTAAATGTTAAATCCAAATCCGATTAGCTATGTTATTGGATATCCGATCTGAAATCGAAAAAAAATTAGGAAAATAAAAAAATTATTTATTTTTTCATAAAAAAATCATAGCCTCAACAAGATTTTAATTAATTATTTATTTTAAAAAATATTTGAACTATCTTGATGGCTCACTTATTATGTTAGAAGGCCCAAATCAATTTTTTTTTATCCAAGTGATGTTCTTTTAACTCATGTTTAAAAGAGACCCCTCTTGAATTGTTTTAAGGATATTCCAATGTGGAATACTAGCTTTTTAAAAGATTCTCCTCTTTTAATGATTTAATGATATTTTAATATGTGATACTAATCATAATCATTTGTCAATTCTAAGTGTTTACTAATTTACTTTATTATTTTCATTAAAAATCATAGTCTCAATAATATTTTAATTATAAACAATATCAATTTGAACATAGTAAATTATTTTGAATATATTAATTGTTAGCTTTTTATGTTATAAAACAAATTACTCTATTAAATCAAATCAATAAATTAATTATTAGTTTTATTTTATTTTAATAAATAAAAAATTAAATATCTTCAAAATGTTCAATTAAAAATATTATACTATTATATAATACTATTTATTATTTGAAATTTACATGTAAAGTATAATACGATTTTCAAAATAGAAAAAACAATGTCATAAATTATGCGATAATATAAAAAATGTAATATGTTATTATAATAAATCGGATCGGATTGACCTATATCTATATTTGATTCATTTAGTTAACGGATTATCGGATTTGAATCTCAACCGAGTTATCAGATTGAGATCTTAAACCCATCTACTATTAATTTTATCGGATTCGGATCAAAATTCAATCCATTGACAGCCCTAGACAAGACAAGTCCCCTGCCCCATTTATTTTTTCTTTATTATATTTTTTACTTTTTATTTTTTATGTCCTTAGTTAGTAAATATTATTACTTTTTTTTACCAATTTGTTAAAAATAACTTATGTTCTCTTTAAAAATGATGATAAATCTATTATTTTTCTTTGATAAAAACTTAAAATTGAAATTAACTTTAAACAAAGCGAATAGTGGGGCGGGGGCTATATTTCCTATACCTGCACCCATACCACTTCGGGGCAATGACTCTCAACCCATACTCGTCCTGTTTACCCGGTTAGGCTGGTAATCTTGCCCCATTTGGGGGTGATATTCATGAGTATCGGGTTGAACAAATTTTTTTGTCATCCCTATCAAAGGTACTCTTCTATTTTTTATTTTTTTTATTGAAAGGTTTAGGATCCCAGGCCCCTACCGCAATTCTCCCTACAATTTACCACTGTCTAATTGGTAGTGGAGGCTCACATTAATTGTCCAATGAAATTTGATTTTAATTAATTAATCTATGAATTTAATGGTTTTCAGAGGGGGAAAAAAATAGACTTTAATGATAGGTATGGTAATGTGCCCTATCCAGCCTCAGACGAGACGGCGCGGGGCGGGGCTTGTCCTGTTTGCTACTTTTTTTTTTTTTTTTAATTTTTTTAAATTTTGAGTTATGCTATTATTAGAAAATAAAATACAAATTTAAAATGAGTTATTAATGGGTAAATTGTCTAAAAATAAAATTATTTTAAATTTTTTTCTTTTCACGGAATGAGCCATTTTTTGCCATCACTATTTAATAACAGATTGTACTTGATATACATAATTCGGATACATAGAGGAGTTCACACCTCTTACATGGGTGGGACCTGCGCAAGGGTGAGCTCCACGCTCATGTGAGTGGTGTAGACATTTTAATGTACATAATTTATGTACAACAAGATTTATCTCCAATGACGAACAAAGCATATTACGAGAAAGACCAGTTTCAGATTCAAGAGTCATATGACGACGTCACTGTTAAGATTGAAACAGCATTTCCTGATTCCACATGTGTGTCATATATTAGGGACCATTTGTTCAAAAATGCCGATCTTTTTCTAACCAAGTGCGGGTTGAGCCGACTGGCCCGGCCCATCATGCACACTGCTCCCATTCCCAATTTGGCCCCCTTTTGACCCTAATTTTTTAAAATTTTAATCTTGGGAATCTTATTTTTTTGAAAAATTTATGATTGAAAAGAAATTAAATTTTTTTTATTTACGTGTAAAATATTTTTTTGAAAAATTTATGATTGAAAAGAAATTAAATTTTTTTTATTTATGTGTAATATTATTTAAAAAAAATTGTTTGGTTGAAAATAAGAATTGGAAAAAGAACGGGGAAGGTAAATGGTTGATTTCAAAAGAAACCCAATTTTCATCACCCCATCCAGCGAAAGCAATCTGCTGGCAGTTGTCTGTGATTCAGAATTGAATAAACTTTTGAAACAACAAATTCATGCATTGAGGGAGAAGGAGGGAAAATGGAAAGAGGAGAAGACGACGACGAAAGAAGAGAAGCATCTATAGCCTCTGCAGCATCTTCAATGTCGAATTTCAAGCTGAAAAGTGGGCTCACTCCATCCCAGCTCTCTAAGTTCCAAGTATAGCCTGATCGCCTCGTATTTGATTATTTTTATTTCCCTGCAGTTCTAATGTTTCGTACTCCAATCGATTTGATTTCGAGATCAAAGGAAAATTAACCCATCATATTGACTTTCTAACTCTTATATATCAAGAATCAGCTTAAAATCGAAAACTATATGGCTTTTATGAATAATGTTAATTTTGGGTCTTTCCTTGCGAATTTTTACTGGTTTATTTTGCATCGGATTTAATTCTTCTATATTTATTATTAAATAAAACTTTTTTTGTGATGATTTTGTTTGCCAATTCAAGGTTGTGATGATTTATTTTGCCAGTTCTATCTTATGGATTTGTGAACTATAATGCCTGCTTTCTGAATACAAAGGAAAATTCTGGTTATTCATTCACATTATATAAAAGAATTACAGCAAAAAAAGGCATGGCCGAAAAGGATTTACATAGCCGATCTAAAATTTATTTGAAAGAACGCTTAGCTTCTTGTTGTTATTGTTGTAGCTGTGCTGTCTTCTTTTAATGATGCTGTTATATGCTATTGATTGATTCTGAACTAATGGGTGATCATAATTTGCTTCTCTTTCTTATAACTTGGAGATGTTATTTTAAAAGCGTTTGGAATTTTTTGTTAGGAATTACATAGAAGGCGCTTACAAATAAAAGCCAGATCAAAAATAAAAAAGAAACCTAAAGGTAAGTCTAATTGTTGTACATGGGCATTGCGCCCTTGATGTGAGATTTTGTATGATATTCGAAGGAAATCTTTGTAGGATTAGTTGACAGCGTTGGCAAATCTTGTGGGAATGACATCAATGGTAAAGAATGCACAGATGGAAACCCAAGTAAAAGCATTTCAAATACCAGTTTTCCGTCCCCGGAAAACAGTTTGGGACATACTTCCTCCTTGGAGCAAGGCAGAGGAGCAGCAAACAAGGCATCAAAGGAGCGCCAGAAGTTGCATTGGGGGTATGTTTAGACCGTAGTTTATTGATGTAGGGCCTGTTTGGCAAGACTGTTGCTTCTCTTCTTGTCGAAGACCTTCCTAAGGAAGTGAGCAATTTCAGAAAATTTTCCAAACATGTTCAAAAGAAGCTTCTTAGTCTCAGAAGCAATTTTTGTCTTTTTAAAAGTTCTGTCAAACGGGCCAAAAGTTCATATTTAGTATCATGGCAAATGAAAATGAAGTGTTAATTGCAAATGTTTTTACATGGCCAATTGTGCATCAACTTATGTAACTTTCTATATTTGCTACTTGTTTTACTCTCTTATATTGTAGGCTTGACGCTAAGGAAAGGTGGGAAAGGAAATCCAATATGTAGATAGAGTAGCTTAACTGAAGCACGTGTTTGCTGGGGAAGAAAATGGATGATAGCCTCTTCAGGCGAGAAGGTGAGTATGAAACTAGCTTCTGGTTCTCAGGATATTATTTCCAGAACCATCCTCAAGCCAAATTTTCAACTGTTTCCAAGGGGGAAAATGATCTGCAAAGTATACAGAGACCATTTAGTAGCTGATATGTTTGAAAATCTGATGAAAGGTGCATGAGATGTGTGGCTGTTTGGATGTGTAGATGTGGTTAGGATTATTGCCAGACGCTTCTACGCTGATTTGAAATCACTCATTTTGATATGGATTTGGAAATATTCAGTTGCATTGAATAACAATCTTGGAACTGCAATCTCTTTTCTGAAACTGCAACATTTAGAATAAAAATTCTCCATCATATTTGGCTTTCACAACAGCTACTTGAAGCTCTGGATGAGCATGTAATAAAGCCGGGTTGCCACCCTTTGGCATCACGGATGTGCAGGAAAGAGTATTCTTTAAGATTCTTCACTATGCTGGAAGTGAACATTCCCATAATTCTCAACAAATTAGATCTGGTGAAGATCTAGATCAACTAAATCGTTAGCAATTACCATAACTCATGTCTCTTCCAACACGTTTCAACAAAATCGTATCACTTACACGCTTTAGGTATATGCCAAACATGTCCCCAACCATCTGTGTCGACTTTTTCTTAATTCATCCTCAATTAGTGAAGATTAAAGTTGTCCTTGTGGCATTCAGACAGGATATTGCACCGACCCAACAACCAAAATCAGACATAAGAAGCAAAACGGGGGCCACAAATCTACTTTGCAATGCTCTATTTACCCTTATGTTTCCACCACATTGCCCAGCTATACAGTATATACAGAACTGATAATGTAAATTTGAAATCCACGCCATTACAATCGCACGAAACTTTTTCCTAACAAATAGACAAGTAGCCAAATTTTTGGTGGTTAGGATCCCTTGACACAAATTTGAGTTTTAATTTTATTTTATTAGAAAGAATTATTGAGTAGAGTGAGCCAAGTCGGTAATGGAAATTCTCACCGTGTCAAACCTGGTCCAGCTTGCAAAGATTTTGAACCCATACCGAGCTTAGCACGACCACCAATTTTTCCCCCCCCCCCCCCCCCCCAATTTTACGCTTCCCCTCCAAATGAGACTCACACCCAAATTGTTGACATAGTTTTGCTTCACTCTTACCACTTGAGGCGGCAGAAGTGATTGATTTTATTCATTAATTTTCACATATAAAATTGATGTTCTTATCAAAGTGAAAGAAATTTATTATGTTCAAAACACATTGATGTCAACTACACTAATCCCCAAATCTTGAGCAAATTGAACCTTCTAAGCAAGAGCTAAAATCCAAATTGAATGTCCCACAAGGAAAATAAGCAAGAAAAAAAAAAGTGAAAGCTAGGGCCGGGTCCTATGCCACACCTTTTTCGGGTCAAAAGGGAAGAATCGGACGGTCCATCGAAGATCCAACTTTTAATCCCACTTAAAATTTTATTTCATTCAAGTAGGGTCTACCTTTAATTAGAACGTTGGCACCAAAATGAAAGGAGCTTATACATTTTGCCCCCTCTTCCCTTTTTACCCTTCTTTATTAGACCTTTGTAAACTCATCTTTTTAAAAACAAGAATGCTTCCATTAAATTGCAAAATCTTCAAAAATAATTCCTCCATCAATGGCAGAGGCCAATTGCTCTCTGCTACAGGAAAACTATCTCTTTGATCTCAAACCGTTGATTTTCTCTCAGTTCTCTGATTCTGATAATACCCAACTCCTACCGCTCACAACAGAGAGTTTTGTCATGGAAAGAGGCCCTAGATATGAAGCTTATTCTGATATGAGAGAAAAGAAGCTAAGATCAAAGAACTTGATTGAAGTTCAAAAAACCCCAGAAAAAGTAGAAGTGGAAAAGAATCAAAATAAATCTGTTTCGATTTTGACTCCACCAAAGAAGCAGGTGAAATTCCAGGGGAATGTGAATTTCACAACACCACCAAAAAGGCCAAAAGAATCATCTACTTTAACCCGATCTGTGCCTGATTTTTCATTCGCCTTACGGAAGGAGAACCGGAAGCCAGTGGCTGCGCTGCCACCAGTAATGGAGAGGTCAGTGACGCCACCAATGGCCGGGTGGAAGAATGGGAAAGTGGGAGGAGGGAGTAAGTCTGTGAATTCTGGGGAGAAGAAAAGTGATGGATTGATGAGTAGGAAAAGCTATGCAAACATGGATGAATTAAAGGGATTGGCTGCTGCTGCAAGGAATGGTATTAATGGAGGAGGAAGGATTTCTAGAGGTGTTGGTAAGACTGTTTTGGGTTACAGACAATTCTAAATTGAGCACTTATCCGTTGTCATGGAGAGATTTATTGATCTTTCTTGTTTGTCTTTAGTATGATTTTTGCTGATTACTTGGAAGAGTGGTTTTGATTTTATCCTTCTATAAATACTGTTATAGAGAATTGGCCCTTTCGATCTGATAGTATTACTACCATCTCGAAAATATGTCGTGTTTCGAATTCTTTGCAGCCATTTTCGCCCGTCAAGGTACGAGAATTATCCCCGTACTGATACATCTTTTCCAGTTATAGTTAAGTTTCAATTTGATGATGAATGTTAAATTGTTATTCAAATTTAATTGCCAAACGGTAATTTGTTGCAAAAGTAATTTAGCTACAACAAGATATTTGTTGCGCGCGTTGTTAGCTATTTGAGTCACAGAATGTATGCTACGACAACTTTTAGTGATTCATTGCATAAACAAACTAGCAAAATTATTTGTTTGACATAGATAGTATGAAAGAGTAACAAAATATTTGTCGCCATAATGTCATTGCAAAACACATATCTTGCAAAAAATTAAAAGGGTGACAAGTCAATTTGTCTCAACGATTATTACAAAAAATAAAAATAAAAAAAAAATTGCGAGACATATGTTTGTTGTGAATAATACCTTAAGAGTGTGTTTGATTGGAAAATGTGTTTTTCCACTCAAATTCCTATTTTTATGTTGTTTGACTGACATTTTTTTCATGGAAAACATTTTCTTTCTTTTAGTCACATGACCATATTTTCCTCAAAATCAAAGAAAATATTTTCTTTAGGGGAAGTAGGATTTTATTTTTCAGAGAATTCACTCTCTCATTTATCTACTCTCTCTCATTTACCCACCTATGAAAATCGGATAAGTATAATATTTTCTAAATTGAAAATTAAATTAATTAAACATATTTAATTGACAATTTTCATGCAAATAAGTTCTAGGCAATTGAATTACCTAGAATTTATTTTCTTTTCATGTAAATTACATACTTGTAATTAAACGCACCCTAAAGGTATAGAATTTGTTACCTATTCTATTTTGCAACAAAACATGCTTGTCATAATATATTCTATAGCAAGACCTATTTGTCGCGTAATTTGTTTTACAATGCGTTTGAGTCGTTGCAAAATAAATGTTAAGATATTCAATAATTGTAGTTGAATTTATTCCATGATACAGAGAGTTTGTCCCCATATCCTTTGGGTAACAATATATATTGCTAAATTTATTTCTCAACACATACACTACAACAAAAAAGCCTTTCACAACAGTAAAAAAACGTTGCGGGCTGCGATGTTGTCATAAAGTAAAAGGATACGATAACGTTCAAAGACTAGAGCAAAAAGTTTTCGATGAACATTGTCATTAATTTTCTTCAATGTTCATTACCCGTTACGATTAATATTTTTACAACATTCATTATGCATACCTGTGTTGTTCTTAATGTTTTAGCAACGTTCGTTCATGTTGTCGTTTTCTACCTGTTTTTTTAAAGGGAAAAAAATAACAACTTAAAACTACACATTATGTACAAAATTAAATTAACTAAAAGAAGATTAAGTAAAATAGCAAAGACGCCCGATTACAAGTGTCAAATTAAATTAGCAGCACTTCAAATCACAAGAAACCAACAAACTTTTGACAGAATTTTCCCTCTACAAAAAGAAATGCATGAAAATGCTATAGAAAAAGAAAAGAGATAATTGCAAGAAGAGAATGAGTGCTCAATGCAATTGGTGTATCCAAAATCATGTCCATAAGGTCCTATTTATAGATGTAGAAAAGGTGCAAATGAAGTAGTGTGAGCCAAAACATGCATTCTTTCGAAAAATTGTAACACTTAGCCAAAATTTGTATCCTTTCGAAAGGTTGCAACACTTCATTTCTTCTAACTATGGACCGTAATTTCTCATTTATCCGAAATTGGTTTCGAGATTTCAAATATACCACAACGATCTACTCGACAAGTAGAATAAGTTGATCTATTTACTTTTGTAATTTGAAAATCGGATCAAGTCCGAATATTTGGTTGAAATTAACAAGATGTCACACCTTTTCATTTTCCAATTTTCAGTTATTTATTTAAACCAATTCCAACAGTTGTAACAACCAACAAAAAGAAACATGAAGATACATCTCGATGTAAAAATAAAGGAAATAAATGAAATAATAGAAATGTTAATCCAAAAGTCGAACGGTGAAAACTGATACCTAAGAGAATATTTGGGAAATGAATAACATGAATGGCTTGTTGGTCTCAAGGGACAGGAAGTTGGGATAACATACTTTTAAGTAAACATTTTGTCAAATATAAGTTTAAAAATTACAATCCATTTTTTTTTCCTAACAAAACTTACAAAGTGTCAAGCACAGGCAAACAAGCTCTAAATTATGCATTTATTATTGGCAAAAGATGTATACAGGGCATATCAAATTCATTATCAGATATAAAAGGTTACCTTGAAAAATGATCACAGTTCAGAAGAGGAGTGATTGGCAATCAAGTTTCCACTTGATGATGACATGGAAGATGACTTTGCTGCTTTCATTTTCTTCAATGCCTTCATCCGTCGATCCAACATCGTGTATACTACTAAACTTCCCATTCTAATTATTCCCTATAGAGTTTGATGCTTTATGTTGCGAGATGAACAGAACCAAAACAACTATAAAGAATTGACTATGTAAATTACAAGGGAAGAAAAGTTGGAAATTCATCAAGATATATTAAGTCCTATTCAGATGTATGTTGCACAAATATAGTTTTCTACAAATCCATAAACTGTACATGTTAATGCTCTAGTGATGGCCTCAAAATTCTGGATGGGACCAAGCTGAAAAACTAAAGATCGAGTGCATTCTAAATATTAATTTTAATCATATATAAATTAACACAAATAATTGACATTATTTTCATTATACAAAGTATAAGAAATTGCTTGATGCAAAAGTTTATCGTCATTCAATTCCTCGATTTGCTATTTTGTTCAATTTAAAGACATGCGGAGTCATTAATGTAATTATGAGAGTACAATCGAATATATTTTTAACTAAACTTCAATTGGATCGAAAGTTACACCAAACTAGTCGATTGAATAAGAAAGAAGTCACATTTCTTATAGCTTTTCATGCCACGTGTATAAGATCCTATAGGTGATAAAGGGGAGATTTTTTTTTTTACCTTTTCATTTATTATTTTTTTAGACTTTCTTACCTTTTCATATTTTTTTGATATTTTTTTACCTTTCTATTTTTTAACATTTTATGTTAACGTTTGATGTTGCTTTATATTTTTTGTGGTACGTATTTTTTCACCGCAATATAGGCAAAAACGCCAAAAACAATAGTCATTGTTGTTTCAAAAATAAATTTAGACCATAAACAAAGAACGTTGCAAAATATAATAAAAGCATCGCGAAGACATTGCAAAAATCTAAGAACAACATGAATTTGAGGCCATTTGCAACATGCAGTGTACATTGCCGTATCTTTCTATTTTATGACTACATTGAAACTTACAATATACGGGTGAACGTTGCGAAAGATCTATGGCAACATTTTTTACCCGTTGCAAAAAATCCTTTTTTTCTCGTAAAATTTTTAGCAACAAATACTTATTGTTGCGAAAAGTAGATTTTATTGCATTAAAAATACCTGCAAAATATAAAAGTTTGTTGTCATAAGTGTTCTACCAAAAAATATTTTGGCACCTTGCTTCCATCATATTTTGGCGACAATCTTTATTATTTGTCATGCCTTTTGATATATTACGACAATTTTTTACGTCGCATTATATGTTTTGGTACTTATCTTTTCCATCAAAATCTTTGCGACAAATTTTAAAAAGGTGTTGCGCTAAAACACTTACTGCGACAACTTTTTGTATGTTGCAAAATATCTCATCACAAAATTACAATATTATGATTGTGTCGACTCTCAATCCACATTTTTATGTGTCAATTGATGCTTAACCAGAAAAGGTTAATAGATATACAAATGGAAATTCTATCAAATAACGTGAGGTTAAACATTGAGTAAGAAATACTAGCCTAAAATCAAGAAATGGAAATTAAAGCAAACCTCACTTTTTAAGTTTCAATTTCAAAAATCAAGTTTAAGTTTTGTTTGTACAAAAATTAGATGAAAAATTCATATTTTAAAATTAATAATAATATTTTAAAATTAAATTAATCTAGAGGTGTGTTTGAGCCACATTCTTTTTGAAGAATATGTATTTTGGAATAGTAAATTGGAGAGAATGTGTGATTAAAAAAGAAGAAAAAGTTCTTGATTTGAGTGTAATATTATTTTAATGAAAAAAATATTATTTAAAAGAAGATAGAAAAATATATTTTAGAAAAAGTGGAAGTCAAACACCCCCTACATACCCACCCTACCTCTATCCACCCCACGCAATATTCATTCCCAAACCCTAATGATTCCCCTCTCTCTGTGTCTCTCTTCCCTTTCTTTACCACACACAATCACCATTTTCTTTACCTCATACAACTACCGCCAAAGGCCAATGTCGCACACAATGCCATTGATGTGATCGCAACACGACACGAGCTACTGCGACCACATCATTTTCATTTTTGAAGCTCTAAGAACGACGCCATCATCTCGTGTCGCAGTCGCGGTATCATCTCCATCGTCCGGTCAAGATTCAACATACCTTCCATCATACATAGTTGGTCGAAATCTACTGTGCCGTGGTCGGGATTTGCAGCTCCACGATCAAATGTAGGTTTTTGGGTGTGTTTTCAGTTGATAGGTAGGGGCTGTGGTGGTGGTGGTGGTGCTCACAGTCGTGGTGTTTGGGTGGCAGTGGCTTTGTTGGATACAACGGTGGTGGAGGGTATGTTGGATCTAGTGGTGGTGTAGGATATGTTGGTGGTGGTGGTTTCCATAGTGTGGTAATGTTGGGGTGGTTTTATTGGCGACGATGGTAATGGTGGTGGTGGTGGATCTAGAGTTGGTGGAAGTGGATTTCGCAATGCATATGTGATAAGTATATTTTATACACTTATTCGGTACTTTAAATAGTGATATTTGATGGTTCTTTTAACAAATTATATCCTAAATTTTTGTCTTTTATATTTAATAGGTGAAATTTTATGAAGGAATTGAAATTGAAGGAATGAAGCAAAAAGGGAGAAATGCAAAAGTATAGGGACCAAGTTGTAACAATTCGATAGTTGATCCGGACCATGAATCAAAGATTGAAGAATTTGGAGATCAAATTTCATATTTTGGAAAGTAAATGACTTGAATTGAATCAAAGAAGGCATGTGTTGCAAGAATAAAAGGACTCATGGATTGAATTGCATTATATTGAAAGATTGAGGACTTGATGGGTAATATTATATTAAAGGGTTTGAATTAAAGGAAATTATGGTGGCTGTAAAGTGGGGATATATATAGATTCACGCAGGAGAGAGAGAGGGGTCCTTTTGTTAGTCAACCATGGTGGCTACTAGGTTTTTAGAGTAATATATATATATACATCACAGAAAACGTAGCAGCTTTGTGGGGGAGGGGGGCCAATTTTATATAATTTTACTACAAAATTGAGGCTGGAATTTTTTTCAGAAGACACGCACAGAAAATCAAGAAAGGAGAATTGGAGGGTTGATTTGTTGCTCAAATTAATAGACATACAAGCATGGAAATGTAGGCAGCTTTGAGGAGATTGAGGCATACAAGCATCCGTTTGGCCCCCATTCTTTTAAAATTTTAATGGTTGTAATAGTGTTTTTTAAAAAATGTGTGGTTGAAAAAGAATGAAAAGTTTTTTATTTGTGTATATATTATTTTATAGAAGATTGTGTGATTAAAAATAAGAGAGAAAAAAAGAATGAGATGGGGTCAAACAGGGGGCCAAGAAACGGTAGTTTTGGTGGAATTAATTGGGTGCTGTCTGCCAATATCAAATACATATATACACACAAGGCCTGCTGGCGGCTGGAGGCAGAAACCAATTGTGTTGAATTGAGATTATGCCCTTGTTTGTTTCTCATTCTTTCCCTATTAAAATGAAAAATATGATCGTTATCCATCACATTAAACAACCAAATTTGAATTTCTATTTCTTGTATGGGACTCATAACGGCTATATTTTTCATTCTCATTTTTACCAAAATGGGAAACAAACTGGGCTTTATATATATACATGGCAGAGACACGAGACAAGACAGAAACACGCAGAAAAAAAGGCAGCAGTTTTATTAATCATATTCCGTCAATTCCCGGTGATGTCTTTCATTAAATTATCTTGTTCTTTTCTCCATTAACATGAGTAGCTAAACATAATTTTAGGGCGAACAATGTAACTTATTTGGAATCCTTTATTTTGTTGAATTGAGATTCTAGTACTTTTTATTTTATATGTATTAATTTTAATGTTGTTCTTAATGCATTTAATTACCTGATCACTAATTAGATGATTTGTAAACAATAATTACGTAGAGATGCAGATTCTTGTTTAGACCACATATTAACATTCGATAAGTTAATATAACGTGTAAAGATGCCTATATTAGTTGCTGCGGTCATATAGGAATTCTTAAAACTATTATTTCGCTTAAATAATGTTGATTCACATAGAGATGTGAAATTAAATTATTTAAAAATGTTCAATGAGAACTCGAGAGGGGTAAATTGAATGCCATAGAAGAATTCGACAGAACACTACTTTAATTTTATAAATCTCGATATTAGAAATAAAGGTGACCAATAGGTGAATTTGTTCCGCCCTAATCTCCATTTATTATTGAATTTTCACTAATTTTCTGTTGCAGTCACGAAATTTTTAGTAGTTAAATTTAAAAATCACATTCAATCTTTTTTTTTTTTTGTCAAATAGTAGTTAGAAATAATAAATTGAGTATTAAAGTATAGTCCTCGTGAAAACTATAATCCGGACTCAAAATGTCCACTTTACTACTTGTTACGATCCATCCACTTGTGGGATAAAATCGACAACAATCTAGCGGCAACGACGGTGGTGGTCTAGCAATGTTTGTGGTGTGGTAGAGTAGGGTGGGATGAGGTGGTGGTAGTGGTGGTCGTGACGGCGATGATAGTGGTCTAGTAGTGGTTGTGGTTGTCGTAGGGTGGGTGGGATGTGGTGGTGGTGGTGGTTTTTTGGTAGTGGTGTTTTGGTGGCGATGTGGCTGGTGACAGTAATGAGGTGGTGGTGGTTTTGGCGGTGGCCACAATAGATTTGGTTGATTGTAACCATTGAATTGGTTAATTTGTAACTAATAAATAATATGTGACAAATAGATAATTTGTGATCAAGAAATAATATGTAACATAAAAAATTATTAATTTGTGATCGATAATTTGTAACTATATAATAAGTTGTGACTTATAATATTTATGACTTGTGACAAATAAATAAATTATGATTTATAAATGTTTGATTTGTAAGCGATGAACAAATTGTGGCCTGTAAAATATTTAATTATGATTTTAAAATAATTTGTGACATACAAATTTTGATTGGTGATCGAAAAATAATATGTAACTAACTAAATTGTTATTTGTGACCAAATTGTATGGATCTATGACCTTAATATATTTAATTAATAAAACATATAATCAATTAATTAAATTGTAAATAAATTTTAATAAATATTTGATTTTTGAAATTTGAAACTTTTGTTCTTAGTTTTGAAATGAATGATACTTAACATCTCAGTTATGAATTTTTCCCAATAAAGAAAGCTAGTACACCCAATTGTTCGCTGATAGCAACTTCAACAATCATCTAATAAAACCTGTCTATATAAAGTTCTCCTTTGCTATGCATACTCAAGGACCTAAGTTTTTAAAAATGAGTAATGTTTGTGGAAATTAGAGATTTTATTCAACTATAATGAAGAGAAAAATTTCAAAAATATTTTGTCTCTCACAATAATTTTAACCTCGTAATTAATTAACTTGTAAAAAGTCTATTTAAAGACGTACATGTGAAACCCTAATAATAATAATAGTAAAGATGAAAATTAGGTCAAAAAATGGGTGGAAAAAAATCCAAACAATAGTGTTGCTTGAATGCTAGAGCGCCAGGCTCACAACTTGAGTGGTAGGCGGGCGACAGTTCCTCTGAATATTCCATCTCGCCACTCGAGCGTTCAGTTAGCGCCATCAATCTTTTTTTCCTCCATGGATCTTATTTAGAAGTCTTCAAGGCCCAATACACCATATTACGCAAGCTCTAGATGAACTTGGATTACAAACCCAACATTTATTGAATGTAGAATTTATTCCTTAACACTATTTACTTGGCCTGAGAAAAGAGAAAATGGTTAAACCTAGAGAAACAAATTAACCTTCACACTATTTCAAGAATTACAAAGAATTTGAATCACAGCTTCTTGCTCTTGTTCTTGTCTTTGTCACCAGAAAATATAGAACCCATACAAAACAGACTTGCAGTGGGAACTTTCAACACTGGATTAATTCCATAAGAACCTTGAATATTTTTCTTCAATGGAGGCTTCTGATATTGAGAAGCAGATGATGATAAAAATTGTGATTGCTTCGCTGCCGAATTACTGAATAATGAAGACTTTTGCTGATGCTTATGATTCAAACTACATTTTGATATTGATGATCGTTTAGAACTGGTTGCTGAACCTGTTGAATTACTCCGGGATAGAAGTGGCAAAGGGCATAAGCTCCGTCCATGGCCACCACCATTGCCGCCACAATTCAAAGAACTGCTGCGATTGAACTGCCAAAATGACTTGTTTTTCTTTTCTTCTGAGTTCCCAATACTCTTCTTGTTAGAAGTAGAATTAATCTTGTGATCATATTGCGGCGGTGGATGTGGTGGCGATAGTGGAGGCTCCGCCACTCTTTTGGGTGGAGCTGCCAATTTTTTCTTGATTTCAACTGGAAGAATCTTTCCATCCAAGAAAATATCATCGGCCAAGGAAGATTCTTGATCAAAGCTTCTCCGGAATACACAGAAATCAAAATCACCAGTTGATGATGAGCTCGATTCAATATATTTTTCTACTGGAACTACATCTGCTTGTGAAAAATCATGAGAAAATGAAATCCTAGGACTCACGTTCGTACTTGTAAGATTATCAGAACATAATTCAATTGCCATTGTATTCAAAATTCACTATTCAACTTTCTTGGCAGAATTTAAGGTCACAAAACAGGCATTATAACTTGAAAATTGAAAATATTTAAAGAACAAAGATGAAAATCACTATTTCAACCGTCAAACTGGACTCTTGCATGGAAATTTGAATTTTTGGAAAATATAAGAAAGGTGAAAGTCTTTATTCTTGAAAATCTGAAGACTGATAGGATCAAAATTATATGAGTTTGATGCTGAAGAAAACGAAACTTCGTAGATATAAATGCAATTGATGCTCATAAACAAGCACCGAAAGGTAAAACAATGAAGTACATATTAGCAATCGAATCTTGGAAACTTGAACCTCAATTTTTGCTGGGTGCCTCAGAAAAATCTCTTAGGCGACATGAAGGGATGAATCTGTGATTGAGAGGTTAATAATAAGTTAAAATTGTGAGCGGGTAGTTAAGGGACAAAACCTCGTGGGATTTTGCTATCTTAGACAAAAACATATTTTCAGACAAGATATGTTTTCGCTTGGTGCTGCCAAGGACGTTGTGCTGACGTTATTTGATAGACATATTGTTTAATACTAGTCTACGTAGCAATAGTGTAAGATTGAGGGCCCCTGTCAAGGAAATTATGTAAAAAAAAAGTTACTTATTTTTACTTTGACGATGGGTTCTATTGTCCGACGACATGAATTATAATTGACGAAATGTGTCGTCGATAATTCCGTACTTTTCAAACGCACAAATGAAAGGCCAAAATGGAATCAAATTTTGTGTGGAATACAGACATTGGCACTATGTGAGACATGGTTGAGGTGGTGGGGCAAGCTTCCTCAACTTTTTATTCTGATTTTGAAAATTCAATTCTAAACTTTCAAATAATCTTCTTTTTAGCTAGCGTTGAATGATAGATAATATGGTCTCATATTCTTACATTCTACTAAGAAGTAATGCTATTTATAATTAGGCGTGTACAAATCATTGGTGGTCAATTGTTTTTTGTTGGAGTTTTTGCACTACTTATGCTAAATAGAATTACTCTTTTGCTTATGATCCCCAATTATACGTGTAGATTTCAGTGTTACTTAAATTAAGGTTGAACAACGTTATGATACATAGCATTATCCATCACTGAGAGCAACATTATGTAGTATGCCACGGTGCTTATCATCCATCTAGGTAATGGTGAAGTCCAAGGCTCATTATCAAATAAAGTTTGCGATCAAGGTTGTTACAACTTTAATTTTGGTTCGGATTGGTAAAGGAGTCTCGAAGATCGAATCAAGGTTCGTAATATTCTATTAAATTTAATTATTAAAAATATGAAGGTGTAGATAAATGTCAAATATAAGTAGAAGTTAGTTATTTAAACGTTTAATATTTTTAATAACAAATTAATGTCGAAACAAAAATCAAACTAACATCAAGACTTCATTAAGTGCTGAACCAAAATTCAGTGTATACTATTATTTCAATTTATTTTCAATAGGATTGGGCATCAAGCGAGTCAGTCCGAATATTTCAATATCCGGAACCACCCATTATATGTTGGATATTTCACAAATAGAACCATTCAGTTCATTGTAGATATTGGAACCAAATTCAAACCCTAACCGTCGGTTTCAGTTCTATCCATAACATTTTTATATGCATTTATTTTAAAAATATCTCACATAGACCCTTTTGGTACATATATCTAATACGCTGGTACTCGAAAATATTTGTGCGAGAGAGAAAATTCAATTAAAAAATCTTCAAGAAGCAAAATAATGGACACTAAAAACCACAAAAATAGGAGTAATATAAAAATCAAAAATTAAATTATAATTTGAGAAAAAATTGTTTTTTAATAAATCTTATTCGATCCATAAGTGAGGCATTCTAGATCATATAATTTAATTATGAACCATGCTTAAATAATTATACTCTTAAAACGAACTGACATAAAAAGTATTAATTAGATACATAACTATATATATCAAAAAATTACGGTCCACATATTTAACTTGCTTTGTTTAAATAAAAAATAAAAATATTATATTTAAAAAGAGAACCACGAACTCGAGATGACAAAAATGTACAACACAACTCAAGTAATGAATATATCAAATTCAATTGTCATGCATTATGAATTTTTTTTTAAAAAAAAATCATTTAAATTTATAAATAATACTCCCTCCATCCCAATTATATAGGCTAAGTTTCATTTTTCTCTTGTCTCAAATATATAAGCCTATTTTCTAATTGGGTAATTACATTTCCAACACAAAATTTATTAAGTACACCACAATTTTTAATTTTTCTCTTATTTACTTAAATAGCCTTAACTAAAATTACATAGGGCCTGTTTGAGCCACATTATTCCAAAAAAATACATTCTTAAACAGTGATTTGACATCATTTTAACAACACATTCTTCAATAAAATAATATTACACGCAGATCAAAAACTTTTTCTTATTTTTTAACCACACATTTCCCATCAATACACTATTTTTTTTCAAATTCTTTATTAATTCCTACAATAATTTACTACTACATACTGAAAATTAAATAGGAGTAAGTTAGGAAAAAAATTGGCAAAAATTAATTTTTCAATGACATTGAAAAAGATTTTTTAATCTGTATGAAAAACGAAATAAGCCATATAATTGGGACGGAAATTACAAAAAAAAAAAAAAAAAAAAAAAAAAAAAGTAAAAAGCTTGAATTGTAAAAAATGAACGCTTTGATTCATCAACTTACACCACAACCTACTTGAAATTTTTTATTTATAAAAAGTCCAAATTGTAAACAATAACATGTATAACCTTTGAAATGCAACAATTCGATGTGAGGCTATATGTAAAAATATAAGAGACAATATTATTTTTTAGGGTTAGAGTTTAGAGTTTTAAACTAATTACTACCCAAATTATAATTTTTAGGTTTTATATTTTTTTTATCTAGCCTATAAATTGTATTTAAAATTTTTTATAAAAATCAATTCCAATCAAGTACCACGGTTCTGTTCAGGAATCAAGAACTGACCCCGACCCAATCATTTATCAAATTTCCATTCTGGTTCCAAAATTTTTTATTTTATTATTAATTTTTTTTTTTTGGAGAATTGGACTGGAACCTCCGATTTCGATTCGGTTTCAATTTCTGTTCAGAAGATTTTGTTTTGGTTAAAATGTCCCTGCCTAATTTTCAAAATCAAAATTCAATTATAATTAATTTTTATGAGAAATTTATGAACACCAACCATAAATAAATGAAAAATCGCGATATTACGAGCTCAGGAACCAAGCCTACTTCTACAACTACTTTTCAACAAGCTAGATATTAATATAAAAAACTCGTAGTACATATAGATTAAAAATAATAGGTGGGGGGCGCTTTTAGATTAAAAAAATAGGTGGGGGGCGCTATTTGGCGCACCCTATGCGCGGGGGCCTGTTTGCCCTTGGACGTCGACGTCCAGGGCACCAGTGGACGTCAAGCAAAATCCATTAAATATTTTAAAAAGTAATCAAAGAAAAGAATAGTCCAGGGGAAAAATAAATCGAAAAACCGACCAAACCAATCTCAATTCGGTTTGACGTGGACAATTAGTTTGATTTTTAAAAAAAAAAAAAAAAAATCTTTGTGGGTTGATTCAGTCATGGTTTGAAGCATCATACCACTGGTTAATTGAACCAATCTAACTTACTTACATGTTTATCTTCTTCTCTTTTTAATAAAAATAAAAATAAAAAGATAAGTCATAATCTCATAACTATATCTTGAATTCCTCCAATTTATGATATTGTCGGTAAATAATAGCATTGAAAATTTCACGATACTTAGGCAGTCATTCTACCAAAAAAGCAAAAAAAAAAATTAAGTCTTCTGTTGATCCGTCTGTAGTAACCTGATTTTATTTATTAGTCAATAGTTCTTAAAATATAAAATTATTTAATTATTTTAGTTCGTATAATCTAAGTGGGCCTAAAACTTGGACTAATTTTTTATTTTTATTTTTTTTTTGAAAATTTTTTAATTTGGATTAAAGGTCCAAACCGACTAACCGAACCAAATCAAAACGAATTAATATGGTTCGATTAAATTTAAGAGTTAGAGCAGGTAGGTTTGAGTTGAAATTCACCCAAATCAACTAATTTGATTTTGGTTTCGGGTTGGAATCGAAACCAACCTAAACCAAATCTCAACAAAACGCAGAAAAGAGATCAATGAGGACAACAGAAAACTTCATATTAGGATTTTAATTTTTACTATTTTTATTATTTTTTTTGCTTTGTTTTTCACTAAAGATTTGATTTAGCCTTTAGTTCAAAATGAAACTCAACCTAAGTATCCAACAACCTAGCCTACTCAATCCATTAAAGAATAAAGAGAATTTTTATAATGATGATAAATGAAGGATAGTAAAAATTCAGTCTCAGAATTGTAAGTTTCTATAACTTTAAAGATCCTACAATAGGATTAGATCGTTTTATCATTTTTGGATTATAGAATCATAGGATCATAAAATTTGAATCAAGAGTTTGACAATCACGGTTGGAATACACATTGATTCATTGATCAATAAACCAGCAGGTCCCACTACAGCAGAATCTGGTGCTAAGAGCAGCATATTCAATGCATTTTATGGATTGTAGTCTACGTGACATACAAATAAAAAAAACTTTTAGTCCAAGTGACTTTGATATCTAATGAATAGAGATCGAGTTTGAATTTCCATCTTCAACGAATTATATCAAAAACATAGATTTATTTAGCCTCTGTTTGGTTTTGTTGAATTTTTAGTAGATTTTAATAAAAGTCAATGAAATTTGTGATTGAAAAGTTAATAAAAAAATTGTGAATTTTATGAAATGTGTAATTAAAAATAAGTTTAAAGAAAATTAAGTATCAAAAAATGAGGACCAAACATGGACTTATAAAAAAGAGAGACAAAATAAGAAAAGTTGAGATTTGTTGTTCATCGATAAATGATTGACACATAATTTTATATTAAAGTGTCATTTCATTTTTAAGTACAAGTGATAATGAAAGAAAAGTTGAAAATATTAAGTTAAAATGATGTGTTAATTATTTATTGAGTGGAGAGTAAATTTTGAAAAACTCAAAAAAAAAAAAAAAAAAAAGGTTGAACCCCAACCTTAAGGGCCCCCACCGACCCTGCCCTGGGCCATCGTGGAGGAGGTAAATCGCAGGATGTGCCTCCCAGGAGCCAGGATGGAGAGCATATGGATAGGTCAAGGCTGTTAACCCATATGATAACTCCCGCTTGCAACAAAGTCAATTCCACCTTGCGGGGAATCGAACTCTGCACACTGCCGCGCTGAGCCCTATCCGTCCTCCCCTTTGCCACTGGGAAATATGTCCTGGGGGCAATTTTGAACAACTCAAATGAGGATGGAGGGGGGAGAGAAAGTATTACTTTTGGTGAGTTGCTCCATCTAATAAAGTCTTTATACCTAAACGATCTT